GAAACCACTGGGGGGGTGCAGAAGAAAAAGTTTGGGAACCACTGTTTTAAAGTAACTTCATATATTGTTACTGTTAAACTAAAATCTCCAGCATGGGAATAATGAGATGATCTTGGGTTATCTTGACAAGACGAAGGGTCCAACCTCCACTTTCAAGGAATCTAAGAAATGTGATTTCTCCAATAAAAATGTTTCTGTTGAGGCAAACTGTTATGTATGGGTTGAAAAATTTCACTCTTATGTTTTCTATATGCACTCCTGATGAAAATCTTAAGACCGAGGATGAAGCTACAATTCACATTTAATGCTGCTCCGCAAACAGAGCTCTAAAACAAAGAAAAAATAAGAAACGGGAGCAGGAGTCAAAAAATAGAAAGAGCAAAAATACTGAAAACAACATTTTATAATCCAATAGGCTGTTTTCAAGAGATTCTTGTTTCCCAAAGTTGCTTCATGTGGTGGAGATTGCCTGGAAAAGTGCATCCATGATCTGGAGTTTTTTTTTTTGCAAACCTCCCTCATCATGCATTCCCAACCGCCAGGGGGAAACGTGCAGGGTTGAATGCAATAATGAAAACATGTATCATTTTAACCATGCGAAACAGTTGTGATAATAAAACGTGCCGTAAACACATAAAACCAAGAATTTTCATACGGTCAGCACTTGGAACCTGAAGCACCACGGTATCCATTTTTTGAATGTTATTTATATTGTTTTATTTGTTGAATCCCACTGCAAGCATATTAAATAAATTAGCTTTGAACATATGGGTACCGTGAAGCAGGGTTCACTTTGATCTAATTTAAAAGCCGTTTCTAAAGATACGAGGGTAAAAATGGTAAACAGGAGAAGAAGAAAAAAGAAGTAGGGATAATTTCAGACTGGAACTTAATGTGGGGCCAATTATAGAGAGGCTAAATTTGTGACCTTCTGTCCATCAGGCTTATTCGCAATACTAAAACGTTTCTACTTTAGCAAATGCATCATGTTCAAAAGCACCAAATGTAAAAGTATTCTTGCTTCAACACGTCACTAATCAGGTTGACTGGTGAATTCCAGCACTCTGAGAAAGTAGACGTTAGCATAGGTGTTTGTGCTCTGGTATTCTTCAAACCTCGGCGTGTTAATTAAAGTCTCTGTTCAGCACTTTCCAAATGAGATGCGAAATGTTAAACATGAGAGGTTTGCCATTAGCGTGGCGCTTAGCGACACCTCTGACCCTTACTCGGGGCGATCTTGAGATAAAATTGTGCTTACCTGGAGTGCTGGATCGACAGAAGGAGCAAAGAGAGAGTCGACTCAAGAGCATTGGGGGGGGGGAAGAGTACTGGTATTTATTTTTGCTGAGGAGTTGCAGGAACATTTATAGCTACTTGTGCATTTTCCTCTTCCTCCACTGTGTTGCAGAGTGTGTTTTGTACCCCTTGAACTTGAAAAAAGTTTTAAAGATATGAAACTTTCTTTGTTACATCATACCCAGCAAGGTTAATGCTCAGTACAAAGCAGCGGAGGACTGAAGTGGAAGAAAATGGGAGCCTGATTTTCAAAAATATATTAGGAACTGAAATCTGAGAGTGATGTGCATACGTATTCCATCTCAATGTTTTGTTGAGCCTCCTTCTGCTTAAACGACTGAAAGTCTTTTCTGGTTCGTCTCTACCCGCTTTGCACTTCTGCAGACTGAAATCTTATGGATTCTTTTTTTGGTGCTAAATAATTCAAGCTCAGTCAAATTGGATGTCGAGCAATTTTCAAATCCGTCCACAGATTCTCAGTTCGACTTTAACTCCTGCCTTTGACTAGGTCATTCTAAGACATTAACATGCTTTGATCTAGACCTCTCTGTTGTAGCTCTGGATGTATGTTTAATGTTTAAAGTCTTTTGCAGACTCACTGGGTTTTTTTTTTTTTTTTTGAGGGACTCTTGATTTGTGGAGCGCACAACCAACATTCGACGTGTCGACAGATTCTTTCACCTAAGCTCAGGATGTCAGCAGCTCCTCCAGAGTCACCACTGACCTCTCTGGACTGCTTCTCTCAATAATGTCATTCTTAACCCGACATGTCTGCTGTGTTCCTTGGTCTTCATGATGATGTTTGTTCACTAATGATCTCTAACAAAACTCCGAGACCCTCGCGAAACAACTGGGTCGCACAGCATTTCATGTTAGGAATATCTAAGTTAAAGGGTTGAAGACAAACGTAGGCCACACTCTTCATATTTGTTTCAGCAAAAACCTACTGTCCTTTTTCTCTGGCTTTGCAGTTAGGCACTGCTTTGTGCTGATGTGCTACATAAAAATCCCAATGAAACAGAAGGCAATATGTGGAAAAGTTATTTTGCAAAACAGTGTGCACCTCCTGCCCTCAGTCTCATGTTTTAATAGCCACAAGAGGAATGTATTGGATTGTAATCACTTGAGTGATACATTAAATTATTTTTACTTCATCAAATGTTGGAAGTGTGATTTGAGGAGTTGCCAGCTTTCTGTCTTTCTGTGTTTTCTGAAATAGATTTTTTTTTTTTTTTTTCTCTTATTCCCACTCGAGAAGCTTACAGCGTTTGGCACCGTACCAAAAATGATCCCAGATAAAGATACTTTATGAGATGTTGCCTTCGACTGCTCTCCGGTGTGCAGCCCCAGATTTGTGAAGAGTATTCTTTTTTTTTTTCTTTTCTTTTTCATGTGCACCTGTCCATCAAACGCTGGCTTTACCTCTACCGTTTCCTATCGCGCAGCTGCTCAAGTTAACATTTGCTTCTGACGAACGAAGGTAAACACAAATGCTAAACATGACAGACTGCTGAAGTCCTGAGGAATCCTCTGGCTGCCGGACCACCTCTGGGCTCTTCCCCTCGGCAGACAGTGATTATCACTTGCAAAACCGTCAAGCGGGGAGAGCATGTTGGTTTGTACATGAGAGTGGCTTGCTTCCTGCTATTACAGTGTGTTGCAAGATGACAGAGTTACCCCGGAAGGGGACCAAGTCATGAGCAGAGGAGACGCAGAAGTAGGTCAGCTCCTAGGCGTTTGTTACATCATACATATTCATATAAGCAGCACCCAGTCGCTGCAGAGCAGACTCGTTCCAGACAGTGTGTTTATTCTCTTCTCTGAGCCTCCCCGCCCCTCCCTTTTTAAATGTTAGTGATTACACATCACGGTGGCAATATAAGTACTCAAACCCAACCTCTGAATTATTGCAAGAATCTAACGGTATGGCTTTTTGAATTGATATGTGGACATGAAACACATTCAAACATAAGTAATAAATTTGTCGAAGCAAAAACTTAAACAAACTGGACAAAAATACAAGGAGCACAGGTAACATTTTCTGAGTTTGCCATGTCAAACGCATTCTTTTTTTTTTCCTTTCTTTTTTTTATTTAGATTGGAGGAAAATGCTTTTCGCCACCAAATACGAATTTTTTTGTTTGTTTTTTTTTTAGGGAAATCAAAACTTAATTTTCCGTCACTATGAGAGAGGCTTTTGTTTCAGTTGCACACTGAAGAAAACATGTTTCTTTTATTTTGCGGTTTGTTTTTGTTGGAGATGTGCCAAAACCTTCTGTTGTTTACTGCTGTGGTAACGCTGAAGAAACTAAACTACAAAATGCAACAAACACAAACTACAGGGAATATCACAAATTTCCTTAGCTCTTTTGCAGCATTTGTTATTTATTTTACAACAACTTCCAATATTTTTTTTTTATTTAGAGAGGAAACACAATAAATAATCCAATCCATTGTATTTGTTACTTCGTGTCATGCTACAGAAAACACAGAAGCAAGTTTTAATCTTCCGTGTTGCTCCCGAAATCAGTAAAATGCAACAGCCAAAGCAGCCTCTCATCTCGTAAAGCCAAAGTTAGAGTTAGCATTGTCCTCAAACTGTCAATAAACACACCTCTGCTTACAGATAGTTCAACAACTAATACTGTTTTGTTTTTTTTTCTTCCTTTTCCTACAACACGTTAAAACATTACAGGTAAAACAAAAAATGCTTTCTTTTGTAAGTGAAGCCCACGTTCTGCAGTGCCTGCTTTTGATCAGCTCCTATAATCATAGTTGGTCAGTCAACGCATTCATTCTTAATTCCAGCACACCCTCGCTGCTGTGCCGCGTTTGTCCTTCAACCACTTTAGGAAAAAAAAAAAAAAAAAAAGAGTTTCAGAAGAGCGTGGGAGAATGAATAGAAACTGAGTCAGTCACAAGGCTATGAATTGCACTGATAGTTCAAAACATGATGCTATTTCTGCCAGCTACAGTTATTCACTCAACCCTAATACAATCAGACACTCCAACACAACGATTATGCGGAGGGCGAGATTGACCTCTCCTCAACTCCCCGAAGCCTGCGCTTCACTTTCAGAATCATTTGTGTGATTTGGACAGAAGAGGAGAAGAATGCAAGGAAAGGAAAACGCAGCGCCGACTTGTCTGATAAAATGTTTGGCTTATGGCTTTATTCTGAAAGTCATCCTACGTCTGGTTACTCTTTTAGTATTAATTAATCGTGGATTTTTGCCTGTTAGGCGTTTAAACACTTTACATGGACTAATAAAATTACGCCACTTTCAGAGGAAAAAAGGCAGCTTTTCAGACCACTTTTTGTACTGAGATGAGCCCTGCTAGCCCTACCTGTTAGGTTTTACAAAGCAGCTTGAAAACAAAACTAGCACTGGAGCTGGAGCCAGTTCATAACTGATTCTTTGGAGGAAAAAACAAAAAAAGAGAAAAACTGGTTTTGTTTTCCACAGTCAGGGAGCCACCTGGTCCCTATTGTTGCATCATTTTAGACATTTCTGCCAGTACACATTTGGTCCTCCCTCTGCTATATTTAGAATTGCATTCATTTCTGTGTTTTCTGAAGGATGGCATTGCATTTTTGTGACCCTTTATGCAGCTGGCAAATACAATAAAATCCTAATTGGTCCACATCTGTTCTAATTTTCCTACTCTGGTTTATAAATGTTGCTTTATTCATGGAAATGCATAAACGGTAGCCAGTGATATTGAAAGTCCTGATAGTTTGTTAACAAACCTGCAACAAATCAGCTACGCGCACCGTTTCAAGAAGAATTCATGAGCAGCATCTGGTGATTACACGGAAAGGCAGGACAGAGTTTGAAAACGAGTCCGCGCACAGTTCCACAAGCCGCTCCAAGCAGGGTTTTTAAACTGCAGCTGGTGATATTAAAACACCTGGCAATATCTATAAATGGAGCTGGACTGAGGAATTATATCCCCTGTTTTAAGCAGAGTTTATAAATAGCATCTGGTGATACAGAAAAAAAACAAACATGCTCATGTCTTATAAATGGAAGTGCAAACAGGAATTTCACTAGCTGGATTTATAAACATGCAGCTGGTGATGGGTTTCTAAACAGCTTTGATATTTTACCATATTTATGGTAACGTTCTGGCAACCACAACTGTCGGTATTTTACCGTAAATTGGATACTTTTTTTTGTTGTTTTTTTTTAAATACAACAGAGATGTGAAAATTAGAGCAGGAATATTATTCAAAATGCTAAAAGCCGTAGGAAAAAAAAAACAGTTTGTTGGATGTTTGAGTCTTACAGCTGCTGGGAGGAAGCACCTACAGTAAGGCTCCTTTGTGCACCTCGGATGCAACAGTCTGTCACAAAAGGAGCTCTCCTGTTCTGTAACGTCTTCGTTCACGGGGTGAGAGACATTGTGCAACAGTGATGCCATTTTATCCAGAGTGATTCTGCTTCCGGTCGCCTGAACTGGGTCAAGGGAGCAACCCAGGACAGAGCTGGCCATCCTGAGGAACATATCGAACACGATTATGTTGTGCTGTTCCACTACAAATCTGAGTTTTTAAGCATGCTAAAGGTAAATGTTGTCATTGTTTTTCTCTTAAATTACAAAAAACCAAAAGCCATCTTAAGTCAGTAGGCTTAAACATGGCACTGACTAAAGACTGAATTTTATCACAATATATTCTGGTATTTATTGTGATTGCACTGCAAAAACTGAAATCCTAGTAAGAGTAAATATCTTAAATTAAGGAGATTGTTCTTGTTTTCTTTCTGACAAGATAATTTTTCTCACCAAGCGGGGTTTAAGTTAGAATATTTTTCTTATTTTAAGTGTTTTTGTACTTAATTATCTCAGTAAGATATAAAAGCTTGATATTCAGAAAATTTTACTTATTATGAGTAAATATGTGCTAGAAACTAGAATATCAATATTTACCAATCAAACTTCAAGTCTAGAACTTATTTTATAAGTAAAATTTTCTTATTTCAAGCACAAAAAGAGAAATCACTTACTTAATGAAATCTCTTCAGATGATGTCCAAATGGAATCCTTTGTGTTATTGTCAATGAAAAATAATAATAAAAAACCCCACAAACTTATACTCTTGTATAAGTTGGCAGAGTGTACTGAAAATTATAATTTAATATTTAAACGGTTGACATTTAACACTTATAACAATTCAGAGACGATATCAGTTTATATATCAAGCATGTTTCCATCTGCTTTCCATGGACCTTCTTAATCTGATCTTCTTGATGCATGCAATATAAGTTTTGATAAATAATAACATATAATGCAGACCTTTTTGGTATAAATATATACCAGTCTATACCTCACAAGCAAATATATTACTCTGAAAAAAATAGTTTTTTTTTTTTTTTTCCATTTTCAGTAGTTTTTTTCAGTGCATCAATACTTTCAGTTTTTCAGGCTTTTAATCAGATTATTGTCTTAGTATCAACGAAGTTGAAGTTGGTTTACAATTCCAGCTTCCAATAGCTAAAGGGCGATTCCACTTAATTTTTCACTACTTTCCGCTACTTTCCGCATCTTTAATCAACTCTAGTTTAAAAACTACTTCAAACCTGGACTAAATTATTCTGCTCTAATAGTAGAATATTTAGAATCATGTTTGTGATTTGTGAAACTTTTATCTGATTTGTGAAACTTCAATAAAGGTTGATTTTACCACTTTTGTTGCATCTGGATCACACTAGAACTGGTCTAATTCCAAATCTACAACACCTAGACACTTCAAACCTGGATCAGATTATTTTCAATTAATAGCAGAATAAGTAAAACCATGTTTGGGATTTGTGAAGTTTATATTCAGTTTACGGTTTCACTCGGTCGTATCGTTTCCGTTGTTTTACCACCTCCGCGGACAGGTCAGGGAAGAACATCACATAGCAGCCATTGTACATCACCTTTCCTTTCAGACGGGCTGCTGTCATCATTCATCTTGTCTTGGTAGTTTAGGGATTTTATGATGATCATTCGTGGCGGGGCGCCTGGAGAGCTCTGCCCCTGCAGCCTGTGAGCCCATTCGTTAATGGGGGGAGATGGAAATGCATCCCTCCCCAGAACCTCCATCAACCAGTTCTGGAGAAAAGTTGCGATGTCCCCTTGCTCTGTTTTCTCGGGTAATCCCACAAGTCTTAGATTAGGTCTCCGGTAGTCATTTTCAAGCACATCCACCTTCAAAGTGAGCTCTTGGATTTTCTTCTTTGAGGTCGCTTCTTTGTTTGTTAGCGAGGCAACGCTATCCTCCAGAGGTAAGCCTCTCGAGGAACACTCCAATTGTGTCTTTAATTTCTTGGTTTGAAGTTATAATCTCACGTAGCTGCGTGGAGAAATGAGATTTTAAGGCTTGGATCGCTTCCATGAGGTTAGTTTCAGGAACCTGGGAGCTAGCGCTAGCCCCCTCCATGTGCTAGGTTTCCACTTAGCTGCTAGCGTCATCTTCGGCTCCCTCTTTGGGGGTTGTTTTCACTTTTAACTTGTTTTTAATCGGCATCTTGGAATATTGAATTGAGTCTTTTAACTTATATTCTTACAAAAAATAACTTAGCAGTGGTGTAAATATCCAAAGAAAGGAAATATTGGTCGGAGCTCAGATCCCAGCAACCAACCGCTCAGCAAGACGCCATAACCGGAAGTCGCTCCCCCTGATTTTTAGTAAACTTTTGCACAATACTCTATTTGAGATATCAAAAAAGTACATGAGTCATTCATTTGAGATGAAAGAAAATGTGTAAGTTATTAACCTTGCTAGTGCATTGACACTCAAGAAGATTAATAAAGTGTGTAAGAATTTACAAGTATTGCTGAAGGCTAAGTTTTATATAATGAACTGTTGTGGATGTGATGTCTAGCTAACATGGAAAACAAATAACTGCTGTCTTCAAACCATTCATTAAATTAGATGGTTTTTTTATATGCTGCTTTGTGGGACTAGTGGCCTTTATTCAGTTTTCAGACAGGAAAGCAGACAGAGAGAGAGCCAGATGGTGGAAGATCTGTAGCCAAGTATCCTGAAGTTGTCGATCTCTGGACTCATAAAACATGAACCATTGTCCAGCATGCTGGCCACCCTGGACAAACATTTGTTCACAGCTGTCTAGTAATTTCTGCATTCATCCTTTTATCCATCCAGATTAGTCTCCCAGACCAGAAAAGCTTTTCTGCAAAACCAGATTACCCTAACAGTGTGTGACGACGACATTAATGGGGTGATCTGGCTTTCCTTAAAGCTTTGTGTTAAGATTGGAGATGGTTGGATCAGTTT